ATCTATCTATCTATCTATCTATCTATCTATCTATCTATCTATCTATCTATCTATCTATCTATCTATCTATCTATCTATCTATCTATCTATGAACTTTTTTCGTTTGCATGTTGTCATAACTGATTAGCTGCGTGTTTATTTAATTTTCTCCTCCCTCTTCAGGTGCTTTGGATAAAAATATTTTCTTGTCAGTAAATTTTATTTTAACTACTTTCATAGATAATAAGGTGTTAAACACTTGACTGACTATTTTACTTGAATTAATTTTTTTATAAAACGGTAAATAGGTTAATTCTCTTTTTCGTATGTATCTAATGCCTATATAAGAAATGAATTTGTTTTGTTTGATTTTCTAATATTTCTGTCCTATTCTATATGTTCTTTGTCTTGCATGCAGACAAGGCTAAAGGCTTTCAAATTAACCTGTCAGAGACCCTGCAAGGTAAAAAAATCACAAGGCATATAATTTAAAACCTTTTGGCATTATGAAAGATTTCAGAGGCAAGCAATTCTTAATTCTCCATCAACCTTTTGTACAAAACAAATGGATAGGTTTTATGTGGAATCTGAATTGAACAGTACATCACCCAAATGTTTGTTTGGGAAATGTTGGAGATCACCTCAGTTTAAATAAAATGTAATCATCATCTGTAACACAAAACCTTTAAAAAAAATTCTCATCTAAAAAGTTTCTGTGATGTATTTTGGTCAAAAGACATTTCTTTACCACATCCTGAAGAAACCTCCAGATCTGGTGACAGGAATTTTTATCAAACTTTGAAATAATTTATATTTAGGGATTAATTTATTCCTCTGATTTTGTGGTTGTTGTGAAAAGGTTTAAGTAAACATGTATGTTTGTTACTACTGTAGGTAAACTGGTGGCATATGATACAGATGGTGATGGTGACTTTGATGTGGAGGACGCAAAAATTCTACTCGGCAAGTTTATCTATTACTGATTTTTAACCAGATTCACAGTTTGCTAATAATAATAATAATAATCTATCATGTGCCTGAAAATTGTGACTGTTGGTATGTGTTTTGTGAACTGCATGGAAAAAAAGTCATTTGGATTTTTGAAAATATTTCATATTAAGCAAATGCTATCTATTAAAATGGCTAATTATAGAAATAGAAAAAATCCAAACTAGCACCACCAACAAAAGATGCTTGCTGTGCAAGAGTTAACTCCTCACTTATACTGGAAATGGGTATTTTTAATCACTTTAATCTTTATCACACAGATTGGACATGAATTGTATATGTTCTCCATAATGTTTATGATGTCTGTTCTTTAAAAAAAAAAGAAAGCAAAAACCATCATAGGATGGTTTGAAGTTAGTCCAAAAGGCGCTATTATGTTTCTGTGCTCCATTCAACATCATTACCAAGCTGTAGGCATTTGTTGTCATATAGTGATTATTTGATTTGGAAATGGAAGCAGATAACTAAGCTTTCCACATGCCAGCTTACACCCTAGGGCTAGAAATATCCAACAAGTTGATAACAGAACACTTGGATTAAGGCAGGAGTAATATGGGGAAATAGGTGATGGAACCACAAGCTATGTCCTCCCCTGATAATCACAGGAAATGTAATATTTATAGCAAAGTTTGAAATACCTTTCCATCTAACTTGAAGACAGGTCGAGATGAAGGAAAAACTAGACTGAGCAGTGAAAGCAAAAGTTGGGGTCACTGTGCCTGTTAACAGATGGTGTAATCATTGGTTTATTGATTCGAAGAGGAGGATCTGTTCTAGAGACGTTGAAATGTTTATTTGGGTTTTCATCCACAAGAAAGTAGTGGTTTATATTTACCTGCTTTAAACTGCTTAAAAGAAAAAAAAAAAAGTCTTGCAAAAGATGTGTACGGCTCCTCTGCCTACCATGGAGTAGATCAACACAACCTTTTCAGCTTTAGCCTAAGTCAAGGCAAAGGCATAGCATGTGGCAAGGCATAACACCGTGCAACACAAAGTAGGCAGCACAGTACAAATCACACTAGTTGATTTTTTCAGTGCACTTTAAATGCAGTTTATCCTTTATTGCTATATAAGATAAGAACTGTAATGGTCCTGCAGGAAATTGTTGTACCAAAGTTTGAGTACAAAAGAGCTTGTAGGAAAATTTCAGAAAACACTAAATAGCATTGTTATGATATTTAATGATATTAAAATGGTAAGAATAAACATCAATCAATCAATCAATGTTTATTTACATAGCACTTTACAACAACCAGAGCTGCCCAAAGTGCTTTACAGTAATTCAAACAATCAAAATATACAAGATATACAAAGACAAATGCATTGGTGAAAGAACACAGTTTACATTGATCTTAAGTGCAAAACGCCATTTTGAACAAATGTGTTTTAAGTTTAGCTTTGAACATGAAAGATAAGTTGCGGTGAGAGTCTTAAAGTATTTATTGCAGTGCAGAATTAGTTATTATCTTATCTCAGTGGTTCTGAAAGAAGTTGGGCCCAACACTATGACGGGGGTACCCAGACAAGGCACACAGAGTGTGATTGGGTAATGTGAATGTCTGTGGATTCTGACTCATTTGAGAAATTCGGTGAATACAGAAAGGAATTCTGTATTTAAAATAGAGAACAAATATTCCAGGTGTAGTTGCCACTATTTAGAAATGGAAATAAGGAATATCCACCACAGGTCTTGAGGCCATAACCACCAGGATCATCTGGCCTTGTGGGTAGGGTGCAGCAGTGCTTTGCAAGTGTTTTCCACAAGTGCGTCAAGCAAAATGTAATTGGAAAAACAACTAAATCTGAGGTGGCAACCAGGACAAAAAGAAATAGGAAAAATATCAGGTATCTTAATTAAGGTATTAATCTTTTTTGCGTTTGTTGTGTTTGCAAGGAAAATACTTACGGTTCTACAATATGTAACTGCACATTATACATTATTTTCTGATTTATTTTTTCTTGCTAAGCATAGTCATCATTTCTATCTTCTTAAGTAACATTTTTTACCCATATCTTTAAAAGTGTTTGTGTGGGGGGCCTGAACATTTTTCATTCTTTAAAGCTGATGAGCTTATGAAGTCTGTTGGCATCGGCAGTTTTCACCCTGCTGGCCAGAGCACACCACAGCATAGAAGATGATGCAGGAGACCACAAAGTAAAATCTCTGAAAGTATGGCTCTGCAGACATTTAAAGACCTTTCTTTTTCAACGACATTGGTGTTGGATGTCAAGGCTAATTTATAGTGTATATGGACTTGTAGCTGTCCACAGTGCCCACCTCAGTACCCTTGATGAAGAGTTTTGGTAGAATAGTTTCCTATGTCTAGATGCATGGGATCCTGTCCTCGCCACTCAACTATGCTTTTGTATTCATGTTTTCTGGTCACCAGTGACGCAGCCCAAATAGCAGAGCAATCTGCAAACTGCAGATGAGAATTGTGAGCTGAATGGTGTAGGCACTGGTAGTCATCCTTTCACTGATGAGCGACCAAGTTGTGGCATAAGACTTTGCCAGAGTATTCAAGTAGATGGTAGCTGTACCCTAAAGCAATTTTCAGACTAATTCAATTTGATTTGGGCGGCTAAGGGTAGACAGTGAAGCACAACAGGCAACGGAGTGATGTCAATTTGAAGACCAGATGTGCAACTGTATTCCGGCCCACCTGCAGATGTTTCACAGTGCAAGCTGGGAGACCAATTAGAGTTGCAGGAGTCAAGGCAGAAGATAATCATAGACTGTACCAGGAGCCGATTGGCATGTTGGGTTAGGTACAACCTTATATTTTTTATGTTTAGTAATGCAAAGAAACGTGACCAAGCAATGGAGACAACAGGATCTTAAAGGTTAGCCGTTCATCTATCATGGCACTTAAGTTCCTGGCTACGTTGGATGAAGCAAGAGAGAGAGATTCAGTTAGGATTATTTTGTCGTGAGGTGGGACTGACAGTCGGGTTTCCTCGGCATAACAGTGGTATGCGAAGCCGTGTGATCGCATGATCTAGCCCAGTAAGGTGGTGTATATGGTGAAGAGAAGAGGTCCAAGTGCTGAACCTTGGGAGACCCCTGTGGTGAGGTGGTGTGACCAAGCCAGGATACTTTGAATGATTGACCAGTTAGGTACAATTGAAAGCAGTGTGTCCTCCCTGTGATGCTCATGCTTGATAGTATGGACAGAAGGGTGTAGTGGTTGACTGTGTCAAATGCAAACCACGTATGATGAGAGTTGAGTTGAATGAGTGTCGAACAGATAGGGCAAGAAGAACATCCCCCGAGGAGCTCCTACGCGGTTCAGTATGGTGCCCGAGGTTGTGAACATACTGGGGCCAACCTGTGAGGTAGTCTCCAATTGACATGACCAGTGAGTCATTCATATTAGTTGATGATAAGAAAATGATTGCTTATCCAGTCAGCAATCACAAGTCAGCCAGACCCAGCCCACTTGGAATCCTGACCAAGGGGTTCCGAAGTGGCTATAAAATTTAATTCTTTGATAAACTTGTAAAGAGCAATGTGATTGAGGTGAATACAGCTTCAACTCAGTTTTGATAATATAGTGCAAAATCACAAGTATTCAGCAGTGTTCACAGTTGCTTTAGACAATAAATGATTAAACTCAGTTGAGTGACCCTTTCAGAATACACCTATTTGTAATACTATCATTAGTGCAATTCCATACAATGCAAATTTGAAACAAAAAAAAAGATAATGGTTGCATTGAAACAATTCATAATGTGTTTAGCAAAGGCTTTTATTCAAAGCGACTTACAACACACAACGTTGCAATTGAGATAGGTTTAGGGTAGCCGGGCCTAGCCTGGGGACCTTTACTGTCAGACAGTCCTTTTACCACTACACTGTCCAGGTGCTTTAGTTCAATCCCCAATTCTTAACATGCAGTAAGTGGTGGTGGAAAGAACAGCTCTTTAAATTGGATATTTGGAAAAATATAAGAGCTCCTCTATACAGTTAAGCACATTCAAGAGCAAATGCTACAGGCCTCTTTGGAACCTTTTTACAAAGCAATGCTATTTTCTTACTGGCATTGTAATACTCATTCCTTTGTTTATGCATGATATACCCTTTATTTATTTCTAGTTTCACTCTCTTGTTCATTTCTACTTTAGAACATGTCTCCTTTTTAAGGTAATTGTCTTAATGTTTTATTCAGCCATGGAAAATTAGATGTTTTGTGATGAGGCCTATTTTAATGCATCAGTGTAAAGTATGTCTCACTTCAGTGGAGTATGTATTGTTATTATTCCAGTGTAATTCCAATTAAAGTTTAGCACATTAACCCAACATTTTTTTCAAAAAGTATGAGCATATATCTACGCAACCTCAGGTCACTTAAAACCCAACATCAGATTTTCTTCCTGTCTTGATTTTTGACTTTTTAAGAGACATAAAATAATTTATTATGATTGTTGTATACAACTGCTTAACAAAAAGAAATCATTGCTTTTTCTGTTACAGTGATTGTTTTTTTCATGTTCAGATAGCTATTATGTACCTAAGATAGAGCCTAAGTAGTTCCCTCATTGCCTTAAAACTTCTTACCTTCTCCTCTTCTTTCCCTCCCTCTCTTTTATTTTTTATTTTTCTCAACCCTCTTCAGTACATCTTTCCATGCTTTCATATGCCACCACTCACCCATTTAATCCCACACATTATCCTTCAAATTCATATATTTGGCCACTGAACCCCACCTTCAACCCCTCTTACCCTAAATATCATCGCCCATATCTCTATCCCCCAACCTGTTTGCGTAGGCCTGACCAGTGAGACAGATTGTCAGGGTGAAGCAGAGGCTCTGGATTGGTTAGAAGAAGTGGAGGAAGGTGGCTCTGATTGGTTTAATGGTTTCTTCACGTTCCTGTATGGTCTCATAAACCCGTCGGAACCACAGGAGGACATGGAAGAGCATGATGCTTCAAGAAGAGTAATGAACATACATTCAGAGGATGATGATGATGA